AATTAATCAACAAAATTATATATACTATATATAATAGTACATAAATATATAAAAAAAACATTAAAAACAATTACGGGCACTCGGGTAGTCTCAGGCTGCCCGACCGGGCTCGGGCAGCCAAAACTTGCCCAAAACCCGTCCATGGTCTTTCTCGAGTCAGGTCAGGCAGCTTGAAAATTTGAAATCGGGCAGGCTCGGTCATCGGATAAAAATTTAAAATTTTCGGTGGTAGCGGACAGCCCGTCCAAAGTTTCAACACTAGTCATAATACTATAACCGGTCATAATACTATGACCACCATAAGGCTAAGTCAGACACCAAAAAATGAGCACAATGACAATCTAATGACAATCAAAAATTTTAAATAACCGACCTTCTTAATATCTGCTTTAACTTCCTCATCTTCTCCCTGTGTTAGTATCAACAGGATCTCTTCCTCCAAAGCCTTTCTTTTCTTCTAAGATGACAAAAAATGGTAAATAAAAACAATAAATACCTAAGAAAAAAAAATAAATAAGAAAAGCCAACAAAGTTTTCACCTTTGTCTCGGAATCCACCATTGACCTCATCTGTTTCGTGGTTTATTTTTCCAGCAAAGAATGTTAGGAGGGTGAGGTTTTCTCGGTTCGTGCTTCTGGGTTAGGCGTTGATTTCTCCGGCAAAGGTTTATGGGTTCTCGTCTCGTGCTTCTGGGTTCGTGGGTTCGTGCGTTCTGATTGGATATCGTGGGTTCTCGCTGCGTGGGTTCTCACTGTCGTGAGTTCGTCGGTGCTCAAGGTGGTAAACGGTAGTGGTAGTTGCGGTTTCTTGGTCTCTATGCACACCCGCGTTATTTCTCCTCTCTCTACTTTGAATATTTGAATTTCATAAGGCTTCAAAATATATTCAATAAGGCTTAAAATGGGGCACAATTGTCAGTTTAACTAACTCAAGTAAAAGTGGTCTAGTCTCACTTTTACTGACATAACAATACTAATTGTGAAAATAGACAAAAGTAATGTTTAAAATAATAATAATTTATTCAAAAGTATTATTATTGAAATTTACCCCTATTATTATGTCATTCTTGATTAGGGCCGGCAATATGGGTCACGACACGATGACACGACTCGAAAACGACACGAATTTTGCGGGTTAGGGTTGAGAAAAAAGAGGTTCGGGTCAGAATTGGGTCGACCTGAAATTGACACGAAAAATACGGGTCAATTTCAGGTTGGACCCGCCTAACCCGAACACGACACGAAACTCGTAAAAAACTAAAAAATACATATATTTTTCATTTCATATTTTAAATTTTATTATGAACTTATGATATTACGATAATTATACTCAAAATCTTATACTATTATTTGCTTAATTTCAATGGATGTTATTGTAATTTAGTCTGTTATGAATTTTAAGTTATTTCTAATATGTAAAAAACTAAATAAAAGTATACAATTTTCGTGTCAATTTCGGGTTCACGGGTCAATTTCGTGTCACGGGTCATTTTCGGGTCGTGTCGTGTCAGCTCGTAAAGTGGTCGTGTCGTGTTCGTGTTGCGGTTTTTAAAAAATTTCGTGTCACGGGTCGTGTTCTTGACTGCAAATTTTAAAAAAACGATCAAAACACGACACGAACACGACACGTGACACGAATTACCACCCCTATAATAATCTTGATACAAAAATTACAATTTTTAATTCCTAAAAGAGTGATTCTCATATAATTTACTTTATTAAGAAGTGTTATTATTGAAATATACCCTTGTATTCACATTCCCATCAATCTTAAGGAGCACGGGAATCTCACCAAAACACACCACCATCACAGCCCACAGAATACACCACCATCACAGCGCACCATCACCGTCTTCACTTTTTCTCGGCCGTTTACCTCCGTCCCTCCCCTCTGTCACCGTCGTCGGGAAAGGCCTCCACTGTTGTAGATCCGCCTCCATTTTAGGACCCCATAGTCATAGGCCTCCCTTGCCCTTACCGGAAGTCTATCTCCACCCACAAAAATGGCTAAACCGGCCAGCCCCCTCCCAAATCAGTGGACGACAACTCACTTCGCCGGCTAGGCGTCGCCCTCGCAACAACAATTTCTGTCGGCCCTTTTCCTCCTCGCCACCTCTGCGATTCGGTCCTCCTCCACCTATTCCGCAAACAAACGCTGCCCTTAAGGAGAGAGAGAGACACGCACATATCTGATTTGAGCGAGAAGGAGAGAGAGAGAGATGTATAAACGTGCTTTTTCTGCGGTTTTTTTTTTCCCCTATTGATAATAGATGTCTTCCAGAGAAAGCCGGAGAGGGCATCAGACGTTTGTTACGGCATTAAAACTTAAATTTTAAAATCAAATAAGTAAAATAAACGTGTCTTAATAAAAATATATTTAATTTTTTTTTTTGGATTTTTTTTGATAAATTAATGTACCGGTAGGTTAAATATTTTATTCATGTGTATAAAATTAAAAAAATTAAAAAATATACAGATTTAACAGTTAAAAATTTAACGTTACACCGACATACCAATAAATCGCCCTTTTTCTTTTAATTTAGTATATTGAAATGTTTTATTTAATAATTTTTTGTTTATAAAAGTTTATTCTTTTATTTTACAGTAATTTTTAAAATTTATTACAATTTAAAATTTAGAACTAAATTTATTAAAATTTCTCATATTTATATTTTTTAATATCTTTTAATCTAAAATAACAAATGTCTAAGGTATCAAATGCTCTATTTATTTTACCAATTTGAGTTTAGAATTCAAGTTTTTCTACATTAAAAAGCTCTAAAAAATATTCATATCTAACTTTTTTTTACAGTAAAAAACTCTCACATAAAGTCACATATCAACTCGAATTAAAAACTCGAATCAACGAACTAAACGGAACGTGCCCAAAATTTATAATAGCTTAATTAAATAAAATTTATTTAGTTTAAAACTATCTAAAGTTGTTGATTTTATAAGAAAATTACTGTACAAAACTAAACACCGTAAAATAACATCTCTGGAATTTAACAAAATATTCTTTCGCATAATTAAACATGATAATGTAAGTTTCCAAAAAATTATATTTTCCACCATTATTTTCCCAAATAATTGATTTTTATTAATTTAACTCCTATTAATTCATGCATACTGCACGTCCCCTATAAAATTACTTTTTCTTATTACTCTTTCTTCTCGAAAAAACTAACTAGACATTTATATTGCTAGAATATTTTTTATATTCTACCGCATTATTTTTCAAAATCATATATGGCTTTAATGTTCGAATATATGGCACGAGGCTACAAGGTAACCCCACAAATTTCCGGTCTAGGTGATTGTCATCATCAAATGCTCTAATCCCATATTCTTTTCTTGGGGGTGTGAGAGACTACCGTGCTTAAATTCAAAAAAGTATCTTCGAATATAACTAAGGCTTAGTAAAACGCATGGTGACAACAGGGATTAGAATATGAGAATCGTATCTTTAGGGGCAAGTCTCAAAACCCGAACGGTCCACTTCTTGCTCAGTGGTGTTATGACTCTGCATATTTTCATTATACAGATATTTTACTATTACTACGTGAGTATTTCTTTTTTCTAAAAAGGATGATCGGTTCCGGGTGTATGTCTTTAGACCGTGAGTACTTTTATTTACAATGTTTTATAAAATTATATCCTACCGAGTCTTCCGCTCACTTTTCTTGTTTCAAATGTATTAAACCCCTCCAGGCGACACGAGGATTAGTGTGGAGTAGGTAGCTACTACCGGTGAGGTGAACCCGTCTTCAAAAAGTGAAGATTTGAATTTCCTTTCCCTTTATCTCAAGGCATGTATTAAATTATAGATTGTAAACTTAAATATTGCTAGACTATGGTTGATGTCAATATTTACTTTTATTTATATTCATGTATGCTAAACCTGTGGGAATTCCTGACATAATACCAGGGGCAAGGTTTTGAAACTAGTTTGATTGGAAATTCCACCACTTTTCTTGAAACTGAATTTCTTATAAAGAGCGGGGCTTGTTTGGAAATACCTGGATATTTTGAATTTGAATTTTGAATTTTTGCACTGTTAATTGTTCATCACCTTCTTAAACGGGTTTAAATATCTAAACAAGTCTCCACGTTACTAACTCCTGTTTGGGAGCGTGACAGTTTGGTATTGCTTTTTCCATCCAAAATCAGCTTATGCTTGTAGCAGAAGCTGATTTTAATGTTTGGTAAATCTCCTCAAAAGTATTTTTTAAAATTTTTTTCAAGAATCTACAGTCAAAATCAGAAGCAGGAATCAGCATAGTATAATTAATGGAACTTTCATAATACCCCTAATGACATTTAAAATTTATAATCTTCTCAATCTAAAATTCAAACTCGTAATATAATATAATATAATATAATATAATATAATAGTAATGTTGTAACAAATAATATCTTAATTATATTAATAACTCTAGTATTATTATTTTATCATATGATATTATAATAATATTATAATTATTTTAATAATATGATATTATAATTATAATATAATTATAATATGACATTATAATTATAATATGATATTGTAATTATTATTTTATAATATAGAATGATTAATATAATTAAATATTAATATAATCTTATAGTTCTAATATTATATATCATAGTGTATTACACGTTATAATTATATAATATATTAATTATAATATATTTGTTTAATATAATATAATAATGATTATATAATATGATATAATATATTAAAATATACTATACTTATAATTTTTAATTATATTATAACTGAAATATTAATATTTCTTATGTAATATCACTACACCACAATAGACTTTTCGTAACTGTTAATTATAGCGTTTTTAAAAAAATGTTATTGCGCCGGTATATAATAGCGTTTAGAAATAGTTATAATATATATATATATTAAAATTTCATGACATTTTGACAAGTTTATTTTATATATATTTAAAAATATATAAATATACACATTAAAATGAACACAAGACGGACATTGGAAATAATTTCTCCAATTTTCCTGCTCGCTCCTCCCTCCTTTTTTTTTTTTGGGTTTGAAATGAATCTAACTTCTCCATATACATTATACGAACAAAGGAAAGGAGAAAAAAAAAACTCATTCTCCCACATTGTCGAAGACTCAGTTTAGGTTTTTCAGATCTCTCTCTTTTCAATTCAAACAAAAACCAAAGCCAGAACATCAAAAACCGAAGCCCCTCTCTCGTGTTTTTAGATCTCTCTCTCTCTCTCGTTCAAGCTCGTGAACCCCCCATCCAAAATTCATCAATCTCAAAAATCCAATTCCAAAACAAACCCAGTTCGTCCCTCACCTCTCAAATCCTCGGCAGGGACGGCGCTGCAATTTCGAAAATCTAGCTGGGGCAGGGTAGTGGGCTGCTGCGACGGCATCATCTGGCGAGGAAAACCCAGAAAGCCCAACGAAGCTTCCAGATCCGCCCCATGGATTTTGATGGGGTTTCTTTGAAACTTCTGGATATTCAGATTTGTGGGGTTTCTTTGAAACTTCTAGAGATTCAAAAACCCTCTCTCTCAGAATTCAGTGCATCCATGGTTTTTTTTTTTTTTTTTGGTGTTGATCTGATTTTGTTTTTGGTCTGAAAATATTGATTCTCATGTTGTGTAGAGAGGCTCTAATGCCGAAGCTCCTGCGCTCTGACTTCTACACAGAGCCACGAATCCAAGAACTGGCTGCCAAGGAAAGAGCATAACCAGGGTTCTGCCGCCACGTCAAGTAAAAACCCACAATCTCTAGGTCATTAAATTTTTGTTTTTGACAGATTTGTAAATGACAGAATAGTTTGTGACAAGTTTTTGTTTTTGACAGATTTACAGTGGAAAACTAACATCGGTGATATCCAGAAAGCACCAGTGTCTGTTCTGTTTCTTTGGGGGGTTCTTGCATTCTTTTAGTTCTGTAAGTTTATTTAGCCGTTTGGCACTTCTTCAACCATGTATTGATGATTTTTTTTCACTCTTTTGGTTCTGTAAGAGAAAGTATATTGGACTTCTGAACTACTTCAACCACAATTTTAGCTTTTTTTCCCTTGTCTTATGGCTGTGTTTGATTGATGGTTTTTAAGTTCAAAATGAATGTTCAAAGTGTCACAAATTTGCATCTCCTTCAGGTTCCTATAGATTCTTGCTATTTAGGCTCCAATAATTCTGCCTTCCTGTAGCAGGTATGTATCTATAACTTGCATCTCCTTACAGATACTTAATGCTTATGTAGGACAATCCGTTTAACCACTTTAATAACATACACATTAGTGCAAAGCCAGCAGGCACTACCTCTTCTCCATACACAGTACAGGAAATGGTAGATGGAAAAGAAGCTGCAAAGAGATCCAACGATGGTGTTTCTGATTCACAGTACTGGAGATATGATGTCTCACAAAAATGACAGAAACATGGAGACGGAGATGGTAATAAGCTTTGCTTTAAATTTGTTTCCTATGGCTCTTGTCCACGAGGGGAAAAATGTCACTTTCAACATGATGCGGATGCGAGGGAACAATCTATGAGGGGTGTTTGTTTTGATTTTCTCAACAAGGAAAAATGTGAAAGGGGTCCAGATTGTGACTTCAAGCACAGCTTACAAGATGAAGGTGAGGGATATTCTCACAGGAGACGTGGATCTGAAAATGCTTCAACTAACAGGTTGTTTTATTATCAACATGCTATTTTTCCGTAGATTTCAGTTTTAGTTTGGTTCATGATGTTTTTGTTATTCCTGTGATTACTTTGTTTGCAAACCATCAACTATGTTATAGTTGGACAGTCAAGGGTACTACTTCATGAAAAGTACCATTCCATCGTTGGTACTTTGTGTTTTCACGGTAACATATTCATTTCATCAGCTACAAATGAAAAAAAAAGTATAACAAATAATTGATTTGTTTATGGATTTCAGGATGAGAAATTTTTTATTTGGTATTCTGGACAAGAGGAAAGACAATTGAGAGTGAGCTCTATTATGATGATTATAAGTGGTGGAACAGCCTCAGCCTGCCCCCGTCGCCGTATTGGGACCGCAGGCACTCGCTGCCCCGCCGCTCGCCTCCACCGTTGTATAAGTGGTCGAGGAGGGACGATGGAGGGTACGATGGGAGGAGTCCTAGAGGAGGGTTTGGACCTGGCGATAGAAGGTGAGAGGATTCTTCCTTGTTGTCTCTGTGATTTTGTGGTCAGTTTACAAGTGATTAAAGCTTTTTCATGTTTAGTTTTCGGTGATCATTTTGCATGATTTGAGTTTTTAGTTCAAGTCGTGAACGAAAAATTGTATTGCAATTTTATGGACGTTGGATTGAGCTTCTTGGTGAAGGGGATAAAACCTGAAAGTGAACATCGAATTGAGACTCTGTGGAAATTAGGACTTTGGTTTGGTTCGTGGATTTAGGGTTTCTCTCTTTTAATTGTGTTAGAGAATGCTATGAAGTGATATTCTATTGTATTTGAACATGGGATCGATTTATGGCTCTATGATTCTCGACATGCTTGGCAGGTTTTCATAATATATGGAAACGTCTACTTCCTTGAACCAATAAAGAAAAGGGATTGGAGTAATTTTTTTATGTGCTGTTTTTGGACTTTGAATGTTTTTCTTGGCTTCTTGCATCTAATCATATTTCTTAAACAAGGATGTTGTATTTTCTTTCTCTGAAATTAGGACTTTGAATGTTTTTGGACTTTCTTAAACGCACCAACAAGAGGTTTTTACGGGCTAGAATTGTGTGATTCTAATGAAGTTTTAGTTGTGAATGGTGTAACTAGTCTTTGCTTTATTTATAGGTTAAATGGTGGAAGTTTTAGTTGAGTTTGATTATTGTTTTAATAGTGGATCACTTTCTTACAGGTTAAACAGTGAAGATGACTTTTTTGTTGAAACATTTTGTTAAGATGGAAGGATTTACTTAACCATTGCACTTAGACGTTTTAGATACTTTGTTATCTCCAACTATTCCTCTGTTTTCTTTACTTGTTTTGAATGTTAAGGTTTTGGACATTGTATGAATTATGTTGTAGACGTAATTTTATTGCTAACTTGGTAGATATTGATAACAATTGATATGTTAAATGTTTTTATATTTTAATTTGAATGTTCCTATTTAGATATATCACATATCTTAAAATTACCATTTATTTGAATGAATTTAAAAGGATATCAATAATAATTTTAAAAAGCTACAAGAGTATGAACATAACAAGGAAAAAAAATTATTAATCTGTATCGTAGTCATGCTAAATAGATGTAAGAGGTTGAAAATAATTTGTCTTAAACGTTATAATACCTTAATTCTATAGCTTTCCATAACTCTCCTAAAACACTATGGGCTTGTTCGTTTACTTCAGCTTACTCGAGAAAGCCCACTCGAGTGCTGAAAGTAAGCCCAGTTCACGTTCGGTTGTGCAAAACTCGAATTGGAACTCGAAAATTAATTCGAGTTATCAACCGGTTTTTGAGTTCAACTGACCCCTGCCACTTGAGTTACTTCTCTGCACTTCTACAGTGCAGATTCCTGACTGTTGCTGAAAGCAATGAAGCTTGCTTTCAGCTCTTCTTTCTACATTGCAAATCACGTGGTTCTCCTGTTAGCGAGATTCGAAATCGTTTGACCATAGTTGCTGGGTCTGCTCCTTCAACGTTCATTCGATTTCTAAAGCCCTCAATCCATTGCGCCATTTTCCCCCAATCTCCAGATTTCAAAATCGTCGCCCACACTATCGACCCCCTTCCGCATGTTTTGTGTCCCCCTTCCTCTACCATTGTCATCGTTTGTTACCCCTTCAAAACGGGGAAATTTGTTGGGACTCCGTAGGTGCGGCGACCTCGGTGGGTAAACCTCCTACGTCGATGTAGAGGCAACAGTGCACGCCGGAAAACTCTCCAACCGAGACGTCAAACCTACTCCCCCTACCTCTCTCGTTGCCGGTACCTCAGATTTGCTAACCTTTCCTCGCATTTGGGGAACCTCCAAGGGAACCAAATCTCCTCCGTAGGCTCGAATTCGGTAAGTTTTTTCCAAAACCTTATGTTCAGTTGATGGAAAATATTTTTGGTGATTTCGGTTTCTAGATCCAATTCCGAGCACTAGTATTGGTGAATTCACATGTTCTTATTCTGGGGAAAAAAAAAATTGGCATTTGTAGTGAATTTTTTTGGTGATTTCTGCCTGTAGACTTCATCGGATCACTTGTATTTTGGAACCCCTTTTTGTTAGTTTCTGGAAAAAAACCAGAAACTGTTTCCAGATGGCATCTCGATGAAAGCCTATGTTCGTATTATGGAAAAAAAACCTTGGCATTTCTGGTGATTTTTTCATGCACTTTCAGCCTCTATACTTCATCACGGCACTAGTATGTTGGAACCCCTTTTTTTTAGTTTCTGAAAAAAAAAAAAAAACCATAAACTGTTTATAGTGATTTCTCTTCTAGATTGCATTCTGAGAACAGTTTCTAGATGGCATTTTTACCTATGTTCATATTGTGGGAAAAAACATTTGTTCTGGTGATTTTTTTGGTGCTTTCAGCCTCTATACTTCATCGGCCACTAGTATGTTGGAACCCCTTTTTGTTAGTTTCTGGAAAAAAACCAGAAACTGTTCCTAGTGCTTTCTCTTCTAGATTGCATTCTGAGAACACTTTCTAGATGGCATTTTTGCCTAGGTTCGTATTGTGGAAAAAAACAGTTGCTGTTCTGGTGATTTTTTTGGTGCTTTCAGCCTCTATACTTCATCGGCCACTAGTATGTTGGAACCCCTTTTTGTTAGTTTCTAGAAAAAAAACCAGAAACTGTTCCTAGTGCTTTCTCTTATAGATTGCATTCTGAGAACAGTTTCTAGATGACATTTTTGCCTAGGTTCGTATTGTGGAAAAAAACAGTTGTTGTTCTGGTGATTTTTTTGGTGCTTTCAGCCTCTATACTTCATCGGGGCACTAGTATGTTGGAATCCCTTTTTGTTCAGTTTCTGGAAAAAAAAACCAGAAACTGTTTCCGGTGATTTTAGCCTCTAGACTTCAACAAATGCTATGAAGTTTATGTGCATACTTGCTAGGTTAGCTATATTACGAACCTTTTTCATCTGTTAAGAATGTTCTCTATACAATGCATCATTCTATACTTACATTTTATTTGGCCTCGCTTTTGAATATTGTTCTCATATGTACATTTGTAAATCCTGCTGTGCAGTTTCTGGAAAAAAACCAGAAACTGTTTTTGATTTTTTCAGTTTCTAGATTGCAATTCACCGTGGCTATGAGGATGTCATTGTATTTAATGGCTTAGTCTCTTATGTCGAGTGATATTCTATGGTTGGTTAATGGTTGGTTGCCGGTTTATCCCATTACACTTCGTTGGTATGGTTGCTTTCATTCACTTTGAATGCCTTGCTTGAGCAATATGCTGACGTTAGCTAAACCTTTGGCAGCATATTGGTTGCCGGTTTATGCATAAACTCATGGCATAATGTTCGTCTAGTTCAGGTTTAGAGTGTATGGGAAACCTACCACTGAGATTAATTGAACATAAACCTTGGTAGCCTAATTGTCCTAGCCTTGGATAATGTTCCATAATAGGACGATGATTGGCCTTTACACAAATCTGAGCCTCCTTCCAACATCCGAGCTTATTAAATGAATTTTGTATGCTATGTACATACGTATTGCTGCCATTATGGTATTGTCAATACATAGATGGCGAGAATGAGAGATAGAGATGTAAATTGGAGCCCAGAAGCTGAGGAACAACTGCTTAGACGTCTAGGTGAGTTCAATTTATTGAAGTCTGTCGGTACCACCCCTCACCGAGATAAATACACACAATGGGCGGCGGAGCTAAGTGAGCATTTTATCGTCCCCTTAACTTGGGATAAAGTCAAACAAAAAGCCAGTAGACTGAAGAAAATGTTTGATGCTGAGTTTCTACTTCGTACTGCCACCGGACTTGGATGGGATTCGATTAAAAAGAAACCCACTTGCACTGACGAGTATTGGCAACAATTTATCAGTGTAAGTTTCTAATAGTATATGTCATTTACAAGATGGAGTCCATTTGTTAGACATTCATGTCATTTTTCATTCTAGAATATAATGGAAGTTTTGTTTTGTATTAATATTTGTTGCTCAATTTACAGATCCATCCTGAGGTTGAAAGGGCGAGGAGGAAGCCCTTGCTGGATTACGATTTATATTATTGCGCGTTTGCCAATACTCGGGCAAATGGGGCCTTTGAGTATGGTCAGGATGATGCTCCACCACAACATAGGTCTGGCAGCCCCATTGAGCGAGGAACAACCAGTTTCAATGACGGTGACGATGTTCCACTTACAGATAGGAGAAATGGCATGCACAGAGAAAGCCGCGGACAACATACACACTCACCATCGCGAGTGGTACGTAGACGGTCAAGTCGTAGCTCTCGTAGGGCGTCACCTAGCTATATGGAGCTTGTTGTGGATCTCCTCATTAATTTGATAGAAACAAGCAGTCGGTCTCGAGGTATAAATGCATCTGCGAACATGTCGGTTCAAATTGAAAACGTTCAGGATCAATGCATGGATTTATTGGCAACGTTGGACATCTCCCAAGAACAATATCTCTTCATGTTCAACTTCATGACTATGGAGCCTAGATGGCAGCGTCCATTCCTTCACATGCCAGAACACCATCGGCTCGTGTGGATTCAGCAGACTATGGAGCAGTGTACAACCCAACAAGTTGCTCTTCCGCCACCACAATAAACGCCTTCGGCCTCGTACTTTCAGCCGAACATGCAAACGAACCCTACACCTGGCAACACATTCGGCCAGTCCACTTCCCCATTTCAACCATTCATGCCATCGTTCTCGAGACCCAACTATACAATGCCACGTGGAAGGGATGGTTCTTCGTAGCTGTGATGATGTTATTTGATTCGTTTTATTTGTTATGAACAGGCCCATAGAGACTTGTCAAAAATGTTATGTTTATGGTTCTAATTCCTTTATTGTTTTTCGTTATTAGTACTAATTGAGTAATTCTTATTAGGTTGCGGCACATTTAGTTGATGATTTGTTACTTAATGCGAACTTATTTATGCAATTATCTATGTAAGAGTTGATTTATATGTACTTTTTAACTTTATGCATATGATTTGCATTTTTATAACTTTATGCTTCATTATTCTGAAAATTTGACAGGGATGGATATAGGTGGGAATTCCAACCCGCTGGGTTCTAATGAATCAGACTATGACAGTGATGATAATTTTTTCATGCAAGTTGTCGCTGCGGCGACTATGCTATGTGTTGGATTTGTATACAGAGAACCTTCTCGCCGAAGGCACACTTCTGGTTGGGGAGGCGCACTTAGAGTGCATTATTATCTGGAACGTAGTCCAACAGTGATGTATGACAGTCCGTATGAGTAGTGATGCATTCTTGCGCCTAAGTTTTATCCTTGAGGAAAGGGGCTTATTGCAACCAACTGTCCACCTAAATGTTGATGAGCAATTATTCATATTCCTAACTATATTATGTCAGAATCAAACTAACAGGGAGGCACAGGACACTTGGCAGCGATCTAGATCAACGTACGCTTATTTGTTAATTAATATACGTATAAGTGTAGGAAAATTTTACCTCGTCGACTCGGGGTACGCTAACAATGGATGCTTCATGGCACCATATCGGGGGACAACATACTACTTGTAAGAGTATAGGGCTCGCCGTGAAAGAGGATTCCACAGCGAACGTGAGCTTTTTAACTACACCCACTACTCACTACGTAATGTCATTGAAAGAACATTTGGTGTGTGGAAGGCTAGATTTCATATTTTGAGAACCATTAATCGTTACCCCATGACCAAACAAGTTATGATTCCAGTAGCATGTGCTATAATACATAATTTTATCCATATGTACTGTAATGGGGACAGGCTATTGGACCAATACTCAAAAGATGGCGTTCCGGTTGCAGACATTGATCCACTGAATGTTGATGAGGACATTAACGACAATACTAACCATGAGGGTCAACCATTGGATTCTAATGCAGAAGTGGAGATGAATGCTTTAAGGGATGCAAGGTCGCGTACAATGTGGGCAATGTACCGTCACCGTCGTGCACACTAATAGCCCTCATTCAAAAGACGTTGATATGCGACGATATTATGTTATAGGGTCTTTAAATACTCATGTTATAATTTATGTATTTATTGTTGTATTTTTGAACTTAATTAAAATGAAAACTGATATTCTACTTTTTATTTTTATTATTTTTTACTTTTGTAATTATGTGTTTTTTAAAATTACCAGATTTTTGAGAACCATTAATCGTTACCCCATGACCAAACAAGTTATGATTCCAGTAGCATGTGCTATAATACATAATTTTATCCATATGTACTGTAATGGGGACAGGCTATTGGACCAATACTCAAAAGATGGCGTTCCGGTTGCAGACATTGATCCACTGAATGTTGATGAGGACATTAACGACAATACTAACCATGAGGGTCAACCATTGGATTCTAATGCAGAAGTGGACATGAATGCTTTAAGGGATGCAAGGGCGCATACAATGTGGACAGTGTACCGTTACCGTCGTGCACGCTAATAGCCCTCGTTCATTGTTGTCTTTTTGAACTTAATTACGTATTTATTGTTGTCTTTTTGAACTTAATTAAAATGAAAACTGATCTTCTACTTGTTATTTTTATTATTTTTTTATTGTTGTAATTACAAGTAATTTATTACAATAAAACATAATAAAGTCAGAAAATAACAAAAATTGTAAGATAATTGAATAAAATTGTTAAAGGAAAAAAAATGATATCCACTATTCACAACTCAAGTTTTATCACAAACAAACACAAACTTAAAAAAATTCTTAACTCAAAACATAACTCAAGTATGCATAACCAAACGCAAACTCAAGTTACAACTTCAACTCAAGTTATACTCAAACTCAACTTAAACTCAACTCAAAAACTTAACTTAAGAATACTTGTAAAAGAACAAGCCTTATGTTTTCTTAGGACTTTTAATAGTGCCCGATGTCCTAGCGCTCCCAAAAATACTATTGTTAGTGATTAATAGCGTTTTTAGTCTGCTACTGATATTGATATTTGTTGTAGTGTATTATAATGTGTTTTATAATATTGTAATTATATTAATCATTTTAATAATATTATTATATTCTATATCATATTATATGTTATTTAATAATAATTTTATTGTATTATATTTATTAAATATAATAATAAATATATATTATATTGTAATTATATATATTATATTATAATATAATATAATATAGTTATAATTTTTAACTATTTACAGCAATTCAACCTCAAATGCTATTACACTGATTTTGTAACCAGCGCAGCTACTATAATTATATTTTACCAAACACTCCGTTATTTTTTGTAACTGCTACTTTTTTCAGCATAATTAAAAGTAATTTTCTTAAAATATACAGTACTACTAAATTAAGCCTAAATAAAGTTTCAAAATGGACCCACATTCCCATTCTTGGATTCCATTTCTCTCCCTTATACTAATGTCTTGATCTCTCTTTGGAACCAATGTCGATAAAAAAAAATTCATTTATAATATTCCATCATGACTCCTGAACAAATACACGAGATAAAGATAAAGGGTGGATTTTACATTGGTTTTAAAATTATTTTGTTTTTAATAAAAAGTAAAAATGATATTGTTTTGAGAATCATTTTAGATTGATTCTAAAATTCTCTTGGTTGATTTTTTAAGAGATTATCAAAAAGTGAAATCGTGTTTATTAAGACTTCGTTTGGTATGATGGTTCAAACTAGGGTGATTCTAGTTTTAATTTTAAAACCAGAACCATAATTTATAATTTTTTGTCTAAATCATGGTTTTGAAACCAGAACAAGAATCAGATGTTTAAACCACCCAAAACTAAGAGGGAGTTGGTTTTAGAATCAATGGTGATTTTGATTTAAACGTCACATTAGAGTTCAAACCTTAAATTGGAACCATCCGAATCAAACACTGATTCTGAATAAGTCAAATCAGAACAACTTTTTACTTTTTGTAAACAAATACTAATTTAAGCCAAAATTATGGTTCCAGATTCTATAACCCTTATACCAAACATACTCTAATTAATTTATTATAATATTGTTGATAAGTACTAAAAAATGAAAACAACTTTCAAACTATTTTCTAATTCTTTTACAAAAACAACTTTCAACTTTAAATTGGAACCATCCGAATCAAACACTGATTCTGAATAAGTCAAATCAGAACAACTTTTTACTTTTTGTAAACAAATACTAATTTAAGCCAAAATTATGATTCCAGATTCTATAACCCTTATACCAAACATACTCTAATTAATTTATTATAATATTGTTGATAAGTACTAAAAAATGAAAACAACTTTCAAACTATTTTCTAATTCTTTTACAAAAATCATTCTCATTGTTTTCGTTTTTATTTTTATTGCTAAACAAACGTCGTTTCGTTTTTATTTTCATTTTTTACTTCTCACAATACATGAAAACCGTTTTCAAAAACGGTTCCAAACAACACTATTGACCATCAAACTTTGCATCCATAAAAGTGTAATATTCACACTACAGATATCAACAAACAGAAAATTCAGAAAACACTAAACATCCAGTATCTAGAATCTGCAAACGGCATTTAACATATTTATAATCTGTGTACTGAAATCACAAAATGCTATTTCACAACTATTTTCCAAAGATGGATTTGATCCACCAGATGCCCTTAGTGTCCTTGGGGCCTTCATCTCCTTCCGGGGGAGGGTCACTCTGTGGGGTCTTGTGTAGTTTGCTCACATCGTAGCCCTCATCCACGGCTCTCTGAACGAGCTGGTTGTATATATCCTCATCTATATGAGTCTTCCTGCTCAATATCTACAAAGCAACAACCACACACGACAAAAAAAAAAAAAAAAAAAGGTAAAAAATTTAATCAATAAACTGTTGATACAACGACTTACAAAATTCATATATACAAATCAAAAAGAACATCTCAAAAAGGTTTTGGCTCCATTTCTACCCCAGATCAAAACTTTTACAATCAGTGTTTTTCTAATTTTAATCAATATTACCAATATTCCCTGTGTAGGCTGTGTAAAATATCATGGCTAAGCCCCAAGTTATTATAGTTGGTTTTTCTTATGAGAACAACCAAGTACTGAACAAATGGCCAAAGTTCCTTTCTTGGTTTCATTTCCACACAAAAATATGAACTTTAATTTAAGCATGTCTTTGAAATATTCAAACCCAATTTCAAGTACTAAAAACAATATGCATATGAAAATGAATAATTATTCTTGGTTTCTTAATCTTTTATGGTGTCACAGGTAAAACAAACTCAGTAAATTGACAGTATGAATACCAAAACAAAAGATGATAAGAACAACCAAGTAGAATACAAAAGACCAAAGTTTCTTTACTGCTTTCATTTCCACACAAAAAATATCAACATTTTAAGCATGTCCTTAAACTATAAATACCCAATTTCATATTCATTTGTCAACCACATTCATTTTTTTAATTTGGATTACGAGAAGAATAAATTATATATGATGGAATAAAAATAGATTTTTTTTTTTTTTTTTTTTTTGAGGCCTTGAGGGGAATTTGGGAAAAAAGAGCATACCCAAAGGTACTTCCTGGTGGGCTGGCCAATAAGGGCAACCTGGTAATCAGGATCAATGTACAAAACCCAGTAATCACCAACAACCGGGATGATGGGCAAAAAGGGAGGCACATAGAACTTGACTTTGAGCTTGGCCTCATCACTCTTGGGATCAGCCTTGTAGGCAGTGCCTTGTATGTAACCCCTTTTGCCGTCAGTCCAAGTCTCGTTCACCACATTCACCGTCCCATCTTCTTTCAGCGTGTACGTCGCCCTTGTGTTCACGCCATTCTTGGGCTGAAACCTCGACGGGAACGAGGCTATCTCGTACCACCGTCCCATGTATCTCTCTATGTCAAGACCCTTTACCACTTCCATCTCTATCTTTGCCATCGTTGAAGGGGAAAAAAAAATAAAAATTACACACTTTTCAGAGGTTTTGGTTTCATGATAAGGAGTGGAAATGACGTCTTTTTGGCGAAGACGTGGAGATTTATAGGCCTTACACGTGTAGGGTCGAACGATTGAATCTGCCAGACGTTTATGGCAGTTTCTAGGTTTTTTTTTTTTCTTTATTTGTTTTCTGGAAATGACAGTTGGCATATTAACAGGAGAATTTAAAATTAAACGGCTTAAATTGTTTCAATGTTAATAATAATATTAATTTTTAAAGAAAATATTTACTTACTATTAAGATGCAATTTTTTTCACCTTTAATCATAATTTTTATATTAAAGTTCCCTAAAAAAATATAAATTATATAGTGAAGAAGTATTTTATTGGCAATGCTTGCTAATAGACAATTAGATTTTGTTATTATTTATAGATTATTAAGTGATTTAATTAACATTTTTGTTGAGATTGTGTGATTTATTATTTTATTTTTGAGAAATATGTCATTTAATTTTAGAAACATATTATCGGTAGTAAATTCCATCACGGATGTTCCCTCTTGGTTTGAAGAAGACCTTTGCTTGAAGAAGAAGAAGAAGAAATACATGATGTGGATGGCAAACTTAGTGAAGAAGAATAAGGATATGGTGTTGTCTGTCTCTTTCGTTGTGAAAACCGACTGCTCAAGATAATGTTTTTTTTTTTTTTTTTTCTCTCTGTTTTTGTTTTTAACCTCAGCGAGGAATTTTATTAAAAGAGAAAGAAAAAGATATACATCAGAATTAGAGAGGCTAAGCATTCAACAGGAAAAACAAAACAAAACATCAAATCTTAAACCTATATCCTGTAAAACCAGAAGCATCCAAACCATACTCTTTAAAAACAAAAATTAGCACATTATATCACCCAGTGTAACAACAAGAAACAACACCAAAACTAGTCAAACAATCAGCAATAATATTAGTCTCTTTAAAAGAATGAGAAATAACAAAATTCATAAAGTTAGCCTTCTCAAAAGCATCTATCTAAACATTCTGAAGAGACCATAAAATTGTTGAACTAGCATTCAGAAAAAAGATAAATTGCACATGCAGAATCATTTGCTAACCAAATGCACCTCCACCTTTTACTTCAAGATAACCTAATGGCCATAATCACATCTTAGCTTCTATAGCTAAGCACTAACTCAAGAAAACACTGAAAGCTCCTACGAAGAAGCCCTTACAATTTCGAAAGACTGCACCTCCCCCAACTAAACCATTCCTCTTAGCTGCCCCATCTATATTAACTTTAATCCAAGTTGTAGAGGGGCCCTCCAAATAATAGAATAGATCTTATGAGCTTTTCTAGGTACAACCTCAAGCCCAAAAGCTTTGATAGTAAGAAGTTTTTAAAGAGAATTTTTAATAACACCAATCTTGAGCCTACCAACCTCAACCACCAGCCAAAGAAAACAAAAATAGAGAACCACACTATAAAAAATAGTCTTGTTTCTGAAAGGCCATATAGCCCAAAAGCTAGTAATAATCGTAGTAATTCATAAACAAAAAACTTGAGAACCAAAATCAGCTTCAAAAGCACAAGAGAACATCTCTTTAATGCTGCGAGCAGGATATAAATGTCTACCAAAAATCTTAGAGATTTGAGCCTAAATCTTAACAACAAAGTTACACTCTAAAAGTACGTGAGAACTATATTCTTTATGCTTATAACAAAAATGATAAACTAAGGCAAAAATAAAACCTCTCTTTTGCATAACAGTCTCTACCGAAAGAGCACCATTAAAAGCCTTCCAAACCACAAACGACCTTCTAGCGGGAATATAGCCATGCCCGATCTTTCTATCCCAAGACTGCTTAACAAAAGCCACCCAAACATCCTCATAGGGCCAAGCAGTAGCCAAACCACCCCCCAGTGACTTACTCCAAATGAGACGATCCTCACAAGCAATCGAAGTGTGACTAATAGCTAGAACAATATACTCTAAAGTCCTGAGCTTGTTACCATGTTGATGATGGAAAATATGACAAAAGTTGCGCAGCATAATTTTTTTAAATTTTTTAATAAAACCAAAACCAAATCATGTTCATGATACTATATATCATAAATATTAAAGATCTAAATCATACCTCTAGGAGACAGACAGTTAAATCTCGCAAGAAATTGTAATGAACAAAACAACTGTTGGGAATGGTATCCTAGAATCATGAGATGTAATAGGATATTTATTATTTATTTAATAAACGAGTTTAATCATTATTTTAAATACATATATTGATGAATATTTTATGAATATCAGTGAAAATAGAATGATTATTTATGTGACCTTAAGTATTGTATATAAGTGTTATATGCGAGAGGATAATATTTAAGGATAATAATCAAAACGATGATCATAATAAATTTAATTAAAGTTCAGAATCTTTAATTAAAACATTACTAATACATATTATTCCCATTTAGAATGGAATGGTGTTATCCGTACTGTTAATATAACGAGATATTGAATCACATAATGAGATTGTGTGGAACAGGGACACATACACAATATGAATTTCTGATAATTTTCGTTAAGTATAGAAATTTTAATTGAGTCTACCACTGGTTATATATAGAATGATCTTAATCCTGAGTTATTAGCAGACTCCTTGAGAAAGAAGTAGATAAATAATCCATTGAGAGTTGTTTCGGTACTTTGACAAGTATGAGCTCCGATTCATGAATTTGTTTCATGAATCCCTACCCATTAGAGAATCAATGGTACACAAGGATAAATACGTAATTAGAGAGGTTAACGAATTTCACCTAGCTCTAATTATGAATTATTTATAGAGGATTGATTTATATGTAATGACTATATGAAATGGACACTTCATAGTTTAAAAGTAATTTATGTCTATAATTACGACAGTGCAATTCTAAGTTTATAGTGGATTAATTTTTGAGATTAATAGAATTAATTAATTAATTAAAGAGTTTAATTAATTATTAATTTTATTAGAGCTCGAAATTATAAGTCCATGAGTCCCCGTATCGTCCTTGTAATCCTACAAGACTAGTGGGCAAAATGGGAATTTTAGAATTACAGAATTCTAAAAATAACGCTCAAGAATAATTAATTAAGAATTAGTTATAAATTAAATAATGTGATTATTTAAGTTTAAGTTTAAATTTGAATTTTGAAACACACATGGGAAGGTGTTCACATAGTGTAAATGCACACTACAGTGTGAATCCCTTTGGGATTCAGTTGCTTGCTCTCTTAATTATCCAATTGACTTATTTAATAAGTTGTCCAATTTGAAATTCAAATTGATTTAAGTTTGACTTAAATTGAAATTTAAATTTGAGTGAAAATTGGATTACAGGATAAATGCCGAATTTTACCTTATTCATTACTTGCAATATGCGCCTACCACAGGGAGGAATCTTCTTGTGGTGGCCGGCCAACATATGGGTAAGGGAGAGTGGATTCTGTTTCAAAAATCAAATTAGAAGTGAGAGATAATTATCAAGTTTTATCTTGGAGATTGCAGAAAATTAGAGAGTACAATTTTTGCTCTCTCCTAGCATTAGTGGCCGAATTTTATAGAGTGTGGAAAGAAAAACTTTTCTCCTAAATTTCACGCCGTGCATGTGTTGGTGTTTGAAGAATACTTAAGTGTTATTTACTAATCATGTTTTGTTTTAGGTGTGCCCACACACACGTCTTCGTAGATTCAAGGAATTGACGAGGAAGATTCAGGTGTTCTAAACTTGCTTAGAGCGAGGAACGTTCGAGGTCAAAGAATTCAAGTTATCGTCCTAATCATCCGCTAGGTAAATAAATTAATTTGATTAATTTATTTGTGTATAAATTAATATAATTTATAATATCTCAAAGTATTATGAAAATTTGTTGTTATACATGCTTCCACATCCGAAATCATTTCGAAAACCAACAACAACAACCAGAAGACCTCAACCAACTAATATTCTCTGCTATTCTCTTTTCCACGACTGGAGTATGAGTGGGCACATATCGTACAATCTTCTCCTTAGTATCTTAAACTCCTTTTAACCCCAAAAGAGCTAAAGGAAAAACGATCTTGATGTTTGATCGGCTTTTTCTCTGGGGTAACCCTTACCAAAAGCCTCTAAAATCTAAATAATAATGAGGCGTCATGTGCTATTTATAGAGGTAGTCTTCTTTTCGTAATTGGGTTTAATTTTCGATGTCAAAATCACGATTAAATTCGCAACAAGTTGGTGCCTACGTGGCATTGTCCGTTTAACCAGACAGGGTCGTCCGGTTAACCAGATGACGGACTTGGTCCGTATTATATAAACACGTCCAGTTAAGCTAATGTATCCCACCGAGTAACCGGACCCAATTTTCCAGCCCCGTTTTGTTTCTTTTATTTGAATATGAGAATTATATATATAACTTTAGTTTTAATTTAAATAGGGATAATTTACACATATGGTTCTTAAACTCTTTAATAAGTGATAATTTGATCTTTAAATTTTTGAGAGAAAGAGAGAAATAGGCCAAAATTTGAAATGAATTAAAATTAATAAATTAATAATTTACATAAGTTAATAAATATGTCAAATTATTGTTTTCGTTCATTGGTTATGAACCATAACTTGACAAGTTATTGTCCATAATTGTCCATAACTTGTCTACTATGAACTATAACTTAACAAGTTTATCCACAACTTATTTAGTTATCAACCATAACTTAACAAATTATGACCTATTAATTTTTATAACTAAAAATTAACCTATATACTTTCTTAAACTTTTCATATTAACTTATTTTTTACTATTTTCTTAAAATTTTCTTTTAACAAAATAACTCCCTATCTTTTTAAAAGATAACAGTTTAATTTTTTCAGTTAAATTTTTAACAGAATATGTCACGTGATTGCGACTCTTTTTTCAATAAAATAACTTAATGCCCCCATTAAAAAAACATTCTTCTTATTCTCTTTTTTCCCCAAATTTCCCTCTCAGATCTATTTTCTCTCTCCTCCTCTGCCCGTCCTCTCTCTCTCTTCATCGATCAATCTT